GGCGTGGGCCCCTCTGGAACCCCCAAAGCCCCTCATGAACCCCCTGGGTTTCGCGTGGCCACCCCCCAGGATCCACAGGGACCCTCTGTGATTCCCCAGGTTTCCTCATGGCTTCCCAGAGAACGGTTACTTACGGGCCCCTACTGTCCAGTCTGTTTTCTGATGCCCTCTACGTCCCCATACGGTCCCCAGTTGCTCCCTGCTGCCCCTCGCGGACCCCTACGGTCCCCTCTGTCTTATGCGGCCCCGTCGGTCCCCTACGGCCTCCCGCTGTCCCCTGCGGTCCACTGCGGGCCCCTACGGACCCCGACGGTTCCTTGCGGTCCTCTGCGGCCCCCTGCGGTCCCCTACGGTGCCCTATTGTCGCTTTGGTCGTCTGCGGTCCCCTACGGCCCCCTACGGTCCCCATCTGTCCCTTACTGTTCCCCGCGACCATCGTCATCGTCGCCGCCGCCGTCGCCAGCCCGTCTCTTTATACGTATGCCCTCGCCCTCATGCTTCTCGCCCCCTCACCCCCCCCGTTCAGCCCCCCCCCCCCCGCGACCTCGACTCCGCCGCTCCCTTCACCCCTCCGCCTGGTGTGCAAGTATGCATCCGCTTTCCCGCATCTTGCCCCCTCGCCGTGCCATCCTCAACCTTGCCCTCGACAGACCAGGTTGCTCTGCCGTGTGTGTACAATTACAATCTTGCCCCCGCGTCCCCTGCCCTGCCACATCTTGGTGAATTGATACGCCTTGCCCTCGTCATTCCGTTCACAGCAAGAGGGGGTGCGCATATGTGCAGCGCGCGGTTGTGCCTGTACGGTTGGGCCCAGCGTCGGCGAACATTCATACACGATCTGCGCCTGTTGCATGTACTTGCATTGTGCACTGCATTGTGAGACTGGCATTGCATGGCGGTGCATTCATGTGATGTGGTATGTGTTGCATAGGCTTGCATTGTCCACGCAATCAGTGCATGTCCTGCGTTGCCTGAAGTGCATTGCGATGCGCGTCAGTGCAGGGATGCATCATGATCCGCATTGCTTGTTTGGCTCAGCAGCTAAGCCTGCACGTCTTCGCCGCGCACGGGGCTGTCCGCATACCGAACACAGGACAAACGATGGGCAAAAGGCGTAGCAAATCGAGCAGTGGCCCAGATCCGATTCAGAGCTTGTTGACTTCTGGCATGAAGGCGTATTATGGTAAAAGTGATGATATTTAAAAAAGAAAGGGCTCAGATTCAGACGACGAGTCTGATGATTACATATACGAGGCAGAGATCGAGCTTCGAGCACGCCACCGCAAGTACGACAAACTAACGATCAAACAGGTAGAGTATATTATCCTGAATTTGAAAGGTGTCGGAGTGACAGCAGAAGATCTCGGTGAGCTTGGATCCAAGAGTTCGTTTCACATGAGGCAGGTTCGAGGGACCATGATCAATCGTTACACAGACAGAAACAAAGCAAAAGAGCATAGCGAAGCATTGGCAAACCTTCGGACGACCCAGGGCTCAAATTACAAACAACGGTGCCTCAAGCTTTTATGTTGTGCTCTGAACGTTCCAGCTTCAAAGCAATTCAGGGCAGATAAAGACACTACGATGGGGCACCAGATGACCGTGTGGCAAGAGCAGTGGAACAAGCGCAAGAAGGACCGACCCTTTTTTGCTTGCACTGCCGCGTGCATTAGCGCAAATGCCCTCCCTCTCCTCAGGTCTCAGTAAATGATGTGGTGCTGCGTTCATTGTAGTGCGTTGCGTTGCGTTGCATTGTCGAGTGCGTTGCGTAAGCGTTCGCTACCCTGGGAAGTGCTGTGCGCACTGCGCCGCGCGAATGAACGTGCACTCGGCGATCAACACACTCAAACCGATAGTAAGATCGATAGTGATATTAGGAATGAGATCGATAATGAAATCGGTGATTCTACCACTTGCATGGTCGATGATATCGATAGTGTGATCGCTCGCATTGCCCTCTGCGTGTCGCTCACCGTCCACACCCCTCACCCGTTTGAGCAATCGTGGCTAGGTCTTGTCAGAAATGTGGGCATGCGGGGGGGGGGGCAGAGGGGAGCAGGAAGTGAATGAGGGTGATGATGTGGATGAGGATGGTGAGGAGCTGGTGCCGTGGCCCGCAAACGTCAAATACGGGCCCTCGGCGGTCGATTGAGAACTTCAGTCCTCTGTCCTCGGCTCGATTCCCGCACTTTGGCCTCGGATCCTCGACCCCCGAGTCTCGACCCTCAGCCTCCGATGCTCATTCACAGTGCATCGGCCCTCGCACTTCAATCATCGGTCATATTGCTATGAGCCACGGGGTCCCGCAACCAATCGCACTATCGATCCCATTGCCGATCTCACTGTCAATCTGATAATCTCACTATCGATCTCACTATCGATCCCACTATCGATTAGCAACATTATCAGCACCATTCTCGCCGTAGTCGTCGTCGTCGCCGTCGTCCTCGGCGTCCCCGTTTCGCCATGCCAATGTCTGGCCGCCGAGGAGGGCGTCCGCGAGGTGAAAGACATGTACGAGTCATTGAAGAGGCAGGCTGACGAGGACGTGGAGGGAGGGAAGGGGAGGGAAGAGGCAGCGGCTGAAAAGAGGAGCGTGCAAGGGGAATGGGAGGGGAGCGTCATGTAGGATTGTATCGAAGACGCCTACGGCGAATCATCGCCGCCCCCTGCAATTGTGGAAGCGCCTATGTGGCCGAACGTTGAGGCCAGACCTGCCAAGCTATCGGACCACGTGGTCCCCGAATCGGTTTGAAAAGCCTTCGGGGAACACGTGGGCATCTTGAAGGTCATCCTGGCAGCCTGGAGGCCATTTTGATCCTTTCGGGCCTTCTTGGAGGACGTCTTGGGGGGCTCTTGGGCCGTCTTGGAGGCCATCTTCAGCATCTTGGAGTTCAGGGCAGGGGGCATCAGAAGCATGGGGGTAACTCCACTTCGTGCCTCGTGGCGCCGTGGTGGGCATTGCAGAGTTGAAAGTAGGTTGGCATAGGGTGCACTAAAGTATGTGGTGGAATGCCTAGGGGAAGCGTTATCTAGCATGGAGTTGCGTAAATAACAGGTGTAGCATGTAGGTCAGAGTAGAGTAGTTCGAGCCTGAGTTGCGCGCGCAGCACAGGGTTAAGCTGAGGTGAGTAGACCAGCAAAGCAGCGCTTCGTGTAGATTGGGCGAGGTGGTCTAGACATGAGCACACCGTCGTGCACGCGCGCTGCCCAAGAGGGCCCGATAAGTCTCCAAGGCGGCCCGAGAGCGCCCAATATAAACGCCCAGTGGCCCCAAGAGGGCCCAATGACCTCCAAGAAGCCACAGGGGCGCTCTACGAGGCCACCCGAGAAGGTGCCAAGATGTCAAACCATTGATTTTTACTCAGGGTTCCTATGTGATTGGGATTCTCGCTTCTTCGTGCCTCGACGCTCCATGCCGGACATCGAGGCTCCGAACAGCGCCCTAAGGCGGACCAAGCAACCCCTAAGAGGGCCCCAGCGCGGCCTAAGAGGGCCCCATGGCGGCCCCTGAGGCCCACCAGACGGCCCCCAGAGGCCCACCCCAAGAGAAAGCCAAAAGGGGGAACACAAAGCGACAGTGCAAGACACCCGCCAAACCGATGCCCCCAGGAGGCCACAGGAGGCGCCCAGGAGACTCCAAAAGACTTCCAGAAGCCCACGAGGCCCCCAAGAGGCCCACAAAGAAACCCGTGGAAACGTCAAAACTGCCACCGAGAGGCGGCGCGCCCGCCAGCCCGCGCAGGAGCTCGCCAAGATGAAGTGCCAGCACCCGTGGTTGAAGAGTGCGCTCGCGGCCATGGAGAAGGCCAAGGCTAGCGACAACTCAGACATGAGCGACAGCGATCAGAACTCAGGCGACATGTCGGACTCAGCTTCCAATGACGTGATCGGCTCGGCCGAGACGAAGAAGATGAAGATGAGGAAGGAGAAGGAGGACGGCTTTGTCGGCAAGAGCGACAAGCAGGATCAGACCCCTGTCAAAGGCCATCGTCGAAGCGAGCTGTCAGTCAAGGCTCGCAGCAAGGGCGAGAAGCACAATATCGACATTGGCGACAGGCTCAAGAAGGGCAACGACAGCAAGAGGGAGAAGAGCGACGGCCAGAAGCGCGAGAAGGGCCACACCAGCAACATGAGGGAGAAGAAGCGCTGTCGCTCGGACTCGCGGCCGCGGTCAGCCTTTAAGCAGAACTTGAAGCAGCGGCAGCCGCTGCAGGCGGCCTCGGACGACGACGACGACAGCGACGACGCCGACGACAGCGCGGACAGCGACGACTCCGACGACAGCATGAAGCACAACGGCCGCCCACTCGGGAAGTACGCCAGCGAGCTTGGCGATGACGCGAAGATACCAAAATGGATTGCCACCATCCAGGGCCTGAAGAAGCCCGACCAGCGTGCGCTGCAGCACCTTGCGGAGCATGAGTACATCGAGAACATGGAGGGGCGGGGCGGGCGAGAGAGCGGAGCATGTGCACAAGGAGACAGACTTGAGGATCAGGACGAGGACGCGAGGGTGGCGGAGGAAGAGGAAGAGAAGGAGGAGGAGGAGGAAGAGGAGGAGAAGGAGGAGAGTGGACAGAACGGAAGAGCAAGGGGAGAGATGGAGGAGGAAGTCGAGGGTCTCTGCGGACTCGCGTCTTTTCGACCCGATCCAGGATCGGGTCGGAACGACACGAGTCCGCGAATACCCTTGCCCCGATCCTTTGCATCGTTGTTCGTTTGGCTGCTCGCGTCGGTTGGTCGTTCCAAGGGTGCCCAAAAGGGCGTCGGATGCCTCCGTGGCGCGTGGTCAGGTGAAGTTGCGTGCGCTTCACGCGCGCGCGGCTTCACCTGCGGCGTGCATTTCGTGGCTTCTTGGTTGTCCCATGTGGTCACGTGTGTTGGACAGGTGGCGCTGGTCTTGCATTTGTATGGTTGCCCTGTGGTGTTTATCATGTCTCCTCGTGCGTTTTTTTTGGGGTGCGTGCAGCGCTCGTTGGAGGTGGGGCGGGGGCCAGGCGGAGTTTCACAGCTTGCTGGCCGTCTCGAAGTGGGACCCGACGAAGACCGCGAGCTACGCGCTCTTCACTACGTTGGGGAAGGAGTGGCTCGAGGAGCAGTGGACAGCGAGGAGAAGCATCTCAGAGGGGCTCAACAGACAGGTTCAGGAGTCGAGGATGCAGGAGATCGAAGCGATTCGAGCACAGGAGCAGGCCATCAGGGCCCGAGAGCAGAAGAACGCAAAGCATGAGGCTGACAAGTTGAGGAAGCAGTTGCGCGCTGCAGAGGCGCGGGAGATGGCAGCGACGAAGCAGGCGTCACCAGAGGAGGCGGCCGACGGCACCAAGAAGGGCAAGAAAGGCAAGCCGAAGGCGGCAAAGCCAGGAGCAGGAGGAGGAGAGGAGCGCAAGCCTGAGCTGACGGGCGACGGCGGCCAGAAGAAAGCAAAGCACAAACACATCCAGGATACCCCATTGCCGTCGCTTGCTCCTGACGCCCGTGATGATGACGATGATGCTGAGAAGCATGGCGCTGAGAAGGATGACACTGAGGCTGAGTTGCTTCCCTGTTTTGTTGATTTGCATCTCTCGTGCGTTCAGGCAGGCGCATGGTCCTAGATAACAGTGGTTACGATTTAGCGTGTTGCCACCAGCACATCCAGAAACGATGCATTGACAAGTTGGGGTGGTCAGGGAAGTGGCTTAAACCGCGTTCTCGCCCAACCCCTCCCTCCTTCGAGGAAAGTAACACCCTCGCCCTACCCCGCTCCCCTGGACCTGGAGACTGGTCTGCTAGGTTGAAGCGTCCAAGGTTTCCCGCAACGGCTCCAAAACGACATCGGACTGCAACTGGGCCTCCAAGATGGCCAACTACAACGCACGCACGCCCGAGCTGCTTACAATATGCCCTAAGAGCCCCCAAGACCGCCCCCCAGACGGCCACAAATGGTCAAAGAGCCCCCCACTGGAGGGCCATCAAGAGGCCCACGGTTTCATCAAAACCCAAATTTCAAATGGTTATCAATGCGTTGTGTTGCGTTGCCTTTTTGCTTGCGGTGACCCCTCCCGAGGCTTCAAGACGGATCCAAAGCTGCACAAGATAACCCCAACAGATGCCCCAGAAAAAAAAAGGCCCGAGACTGGCCCGCGAGCGCCCAGAAGCGCACCAAGAGCCCCCCTGAGAGCTACCCAAGAGGTGCGCGTGGTTCTGGCTCCGATTGGGGGATGTGCGAAGGGGGAGGCGGGGAGGGGGAGGGGGGTTGCAACGGGGGTGGGAATTGCAACCCTCCCCTCTCTCGGCCGATGTCCTCCCCTCACCCGTGTCAGCATCATCCTTCTACTCATGGTCCGTCCCATCCTCCGCATGCGATTCATCGTCCGTCTCCCAGCTCCCTCATGCATGCGTCCAGTCTCGTCCTTCGCTTCCCTCATTTGCTCGGTGTGGCCGTCCTCTCATATGCCGCCCTGAAGAGTTGGTGAGACTTGTCATCAACGTGTCCGCCGTTGCTGTGTTGCTAGTGTGCAATGTTCGCCTGATTTGTATTGTGCGACGGTGGTTTGTGAGTTGCCGAGTGGTTACAGCGATTGCGTCCAGTGCATGTCTTGTGCCTATGATCGTCGTGAGCGCCTTGTCTCCCGCTGCGTTGTCGCAGGCTGCGGGCCGCTCCGATCGTCCTGCTGCTGGCGGGCGCGATGGCGGCGGTCGCGAGGCTGCCCGCGCCGCGCCCGAGCAGATCACCATAGGGGACGAGAAGGACATCGGCGGCTTTGGCGTCGAGGCCCTCCAGAGCGAGTGTGACGGCGCAGATGATGAGGACGAAGAAGATGAAGATGAGGAGGGTGACGGCCCAGAGGACGATCAGGCAGGTGCGAAGCAGCCTAAGTGATGAGTGAGCAATCGCCAGATATGTAGGTAGGACGTTAATGCTTGCAGCCAGTCCGTCTCATGGTGGGCAGAGGTTCTGGGGTTGCTCGCGCGCGAGGCCGCACGCACTTGTTGTGATGAGTACGGCGCATAGCTCAGAACCGCACCGCTGACCCCGAACACCCCATCCAGAACCGATGCTCGCGAGATAGTCTTTGGCCACTCCTTGCTGGGGCCACTTTGGGCGCTGCCACAGTGTGCCCCCCCCCAGGTAGGTGGAGTGAGGAGGAACATCACGTACAGAAAGGGTAGAAGGTGTGTGATGCAAGCGTTGGCCCAGGGGCCACTTTGGCCCAGAGGACTGGCAATTTAACCATCGCGTGCATTTTGCTCGCGAGCTGCGTGGTGCAAGGGCATGGCTTGCCCAACCATGCATGCGGCAATCGTGTCGTGGCCGCCCGCGCGTGTACTCTCAGAGCTGCAGCTTGCTGTCTGTTGCTCGTCTTCCCGCCGCCTGCGCCTAGCAGGCGCCGATATTTGATGCAGCACAGGCGGTGCGCAACCGTCTGGGAAAACACGTTGAGTGCAGACATCGGCGTCTTGAGATGCCCTGCGCCAGAGAACGTGTCATTCCCGCTCGGCCTCACCCTGGCTCACCACCTCTCACCTTTGTCATCGGCCTTTCTCCGCTGCCTCCTGTCCCATCCCATGCATTTCTCCTATGTCTACTTCCCCCATCAGTTCCCGCCCTGGAGGTGCATTGTGCCTGGTTGTGCTGCTAAGGTAGCGAAGCGGTGCATGGACCTATTGGTTTGCATTTAATGGTGATGCTTCGCGTGCCCCTACCAGCCCATCCAGATAAGATGACTAGACAAGATGTCTTGGTCAGGGATGCGTTGCAACATGCAATGTGGCAACATGCAGCGCAACCGAGAGCCTCGGGGTGGCCCCGAGAGTGGTAGTGGTGTGGGGGGGGGGGGGGGCAATGTTGCATCAAAGGGGATTTGGGATGAGCCTTAAGATGGTTCCAATAAGCCCCAATAAGGCCGCGGGATGACGCCAGGAGGGTCTCAAGGGGGACCCCACGAGTGCCACCTGGCCGTGACTGCCCTTGTCTTTGGCTGCAGGGGGGGGGGGGGGGGCTCCTCTTGGGCTTGCCCAAGGGCCCTGGGGGAGGGGCCCTTAAGGGTACAAGCCAGGCTCATAGACGTGCCCAGGAGGGCCCAAATATGGGCCCCTAAGGGAGCTCCTTGCTGGTAAGGTCCTTGCCCTCATCGTTGACAGCAGGTGGGCTCATTGTGGGTCCCTCTTGAAGCATTCTGAGGGCCTTTTCGGTGCCTGGGGAGGGCGCCCGAAGGGCTTTAAGAGGGTCCCAAGAGGGCCCCAGGAGAGCCCCCATCGAGGCCTCAAGGGCCATCCAGCTGTCGAAACGGCGACTATCGTCATTTACAGCAAGTGGTTCCTCCTGGGAAGGCGCCCCAAGGGCCCGAATGGTGCCCAAGACTGGCTCAATGAGGGCCCCGAGGGTTGTCAAGATGACGGCCCTTGCCCTTGACAGCAGGGGTGCTCAGTCTGGGGTCGTTCGTGGGGCCTTCCTGTAGCTCGATTGGGACCTTCGTGGGGCTCTTTTGGCGCACCCCCCTCGTGGGGCCACCTAGCCCCCCCCCCCCCTCCTTCGCCCCGAAGCCTTGAGAGTGCCCCGAGAGGCCGCCAGGGAAGAGTTAACCTCATAGACGATCCACGCCCAGAAGCGGAGGTGCAGGGCAATTGCAAGGCATGGCAGGGTCATGTGCATGGTATTGCAGGGTGTTGGAATGCATTGCAGGTTCGTTTGCAGGGTCTGCTAGGGCCTGGTTTGCAAAGTATAGCAGGGTCGATTAGCAATGACTTCAGGATATCGCATGACCAGCTTTGCGCCCCCCCCCCTGCAGGGTCTTGCGGACGCTGCGGCGAAGTCTAGGGGATAGAGCAGTGTGAGGGGTTACGATTGTAAGCTGCAAGGGCTAGCTACTTAAACCACTTGTGCCCAGAAGACTGCTGGACTTATAAACTGCGCTTGGGTGCGGGTCTGGCGGCTGCTCTGTCGCCGCCGCCGACGCCTCGTCGCGGCCTCGACGCCGCCCGCTGGTTTTGCATTGCTGGAGTGACTTATAAGGCCTGTAAGGCTCACGGGGCTGGATGGGGCTCGCGAGGCTTGTACAGAAGACTCATAAGCCTGATGTCTTAGACGGTGCACGTGGGTTACGTGGTCTATATGTGGTTTCAATGCAACGTATATGATTCAAATAATTGGGAATCTTGGTCGCGCTGGTACGTCTTATCTGTAGCATCTGCGTGTATGCCGTCTACGGTGAAGTGGGGTCATAGACCTTGTGGGGCCATGTCTAGGGTTTACGGTGGGCGTCTGTGATGTCAGTGCTTAGTTGGTGCATATAGGGCCTTGTGTGGCTGCTGCGTATGAAGGCCATGAGGCCTGCAAGGGCCGTGCTGATGACCAAGCATATAGGGCTAGCAAGGCCTATATACAGGGCCTGTGGAGCTTACCGACGTTATAGGGTGCAATGTGCCCATATGTCGTATGAGGGTCAGACAATTGATATTGTAAACATGTCGCGTAGGACGTCCAGGGCATGTACGGCTGATGTGGCTCATAATGGTGTATGCATTGCTCATGGTTTATCGGTGCATGTGGCTCGTAAGGCGTGCCGACTGTATATGGCTGGCATTGTATGGCGCATGTATTGGTTACGTGGCACGCGCTGTTCGTTGGGCATGCTTCTAGGGCTTATCATATATATACCTGTCTGGTTTCAACGTAGCAATTGCATCGGATTCTGGACTTTGGGCCTCAAAGCCACAACCCCCCAAAAGCCATTGTCCGTTATGTAGCAGAATTTTTTTTGTTCAGATATCTACGGGGCGCTGTGTGCCCTGGGCGAAGCATTGCGCACCGTGCGAGGGTATTCGCACCAAGCCAGGCGCAGGCCCCATGAGTGCGGCAATATTCCTGCCTGGAGCGCCGCCCGCCGAAGACGACGGGCAAGCGGCCGCTGTGGCGACTCCTGCGCCCCCTGCAAGCCCGACGGTGCTTGGTTGCCCTTTCGCGCAGGGGTGGCAACTGATGGTGGTGACGGGGCGCGGGGCAGAGACGGCGTCGCCGCTGCTCGCGGCTGGCGCCGCGGGCCCAACCACGGCGGCCGCCCAGCCGAGCCGCTCGAGATCGCCGCGCCAGGGTGGCGGCGCTGCATACGACGAGCGCCTGCGCCACGCGTTGGCGCTCCAGCCGACGCTGGCCGAGTGGCAGGCGCTTGTCGTCGTCGCTCTGTGTCGTCGTCGGTAGTCGCCGTCGTCGTCGAATTTCGTCGTTGTCGCCATCGTCGTCGTCGTCGTCGTCGGCGCCGATTCTTGTTGCCGATGTCGTCGGCCGCTGCCGCCGTCGCCACCGCCGCCGCCGCCGTCGTTGCCGTCGTCGGGCAGTGACGAGACGAGGGCCGACTGGCGACGGCTC